CTTAGATGTAATTCTCTTCTTAGCATTACGCTTTAGAGGTATATTAGTGAATGTTAATTATTATATTTATATTTCTGTCATAATTTATTTTTATTATAATTAAACAGGAAATCATGGTTTATATGTGTAAACATGTATTATTACATGTATGTATTAAAATCATCGTTTTAGACTCTTCAAAAATGTTCAATGATGACGATAACGGTAGTTTTCTTGCAACTCTAGAGCTACTCGCAAAGCACAACAAGACCCTTTAGTTACATTAGATTGAGGTTTCCTGGTGTCAACATGAAGGTAAACAAATTGTTGTGCACTTTTTGGGTTGGAGTTCCCAAAAGAAATTTATAAAATAAGCGCGGAAGAATTGTCCACGGTGCCATCATTAAAGATAAGCATATAGTAATTTACTATTTTATTCTTGTCGACGGAACGCCTGACGTCTCTTATACTGAGCAAATCGCATTTGTTCGCCGCTTTGTCTACAATGGTATTGATAAAAGACAGGTATTTAAGGAGCGCTTTCTGAAGGTCGAAAATCTTAAACAAAAGAGGGCTGTGGATATTGCCAAGATAATTATGGATTTCTAGGATCAAAATTACATCAATCTGAAGAACTGTCAAAGTCAAGGGTACAAAAACGATGCCAACATGTCTGGTGTGTACAAAAAAGTAAAAACGATCATCCTTCAGAGAAATACTGAAGCTTTCTACATGCTATGCAGCGCTCATAACCTTAACCTAGCTGGTGTTCATTCCCTTGAATCTTCTGTAGAAATGAAGAACTATTGTGGCTGGATTCAGTTACTCTACAATCTTTTTAGTGGAAGCCCTATACAATGTCAAATTTGGCCAAGACAACTGATTTGTCTCTTCATTAAACCTCACAAACCCGATGGAGTGCACGGATTGAGACTTTGAAGCCGTTGGTTAAGCAACCTATAAAAATGATTTTTTCTTCAGGAACTTGATTTAACTGCTGATCTATTGAATGACGTAAAATCTTTGGAGAAATGGATTTATTCATTTGAGTTTATAATCATGACAACTTTCTGGTTCGAAGCGCGCCAAGCAATTGTCAGCGTGTCATTTCAATCAGGAAACATTACTTTAGATGTAGATATGAAGCTATTGAGGGTTCCTATGGAGGATCTTATGAATTTAGATATTGTTATATATATACATATATATATATATATATATATATATATATATATATATATATATATATATATATATATATATATATATATATATATATATATATATATATATATAATATATATATATATATATATATATATATATATATATATATATATATCCTTATAAAGGAGGATCTTATGAATTTAGATATATATATATATATATATATATATATATATATATATATATATATATATATATATATATATATCTTATAAAGGAGGATCTTATGAATTTAGATCCGTCAGCCATAGGGGCCCGGTTCGGAAGATGATTGCAAATTTTTTTTACAGCAAATATCGATATAGGTATGTATCATGGATAAATGAATGTATCAGAACCAAATGTTATTTTTAAACTAAAAAATCAATTTTGTAGCCCAGTTATGCTGCCCAAATGTTTGTTGATTACTTTGTCTTAGTCAAAATTTTGCTTTATCAGAACCAAATGTTATTTTTAAACTAAAAAATCAATTTTGTAGCCCAGTTATGCTGCCCAAATGTTTGTTTTTACTCTGTCTTAGTCAAAATTTTGCTTTATCAGAACCAAATGTTATTTTTAAACTAAAAAATCAATTTTGTAGCCCAGTTATGCTGAGAATGGTATTGTTGAACAAATTGACACTACTGACAGCATACATAATTGTAGATATTTTTTGGGATGCTTTATGCATATCGTTAATATAAATTAAGAACAATAATGGACCTAGGATTGAACCCTGAGGAACTCCACACGTAATATCGAGGGCTCCTGACTTTTCTAGTGATACAAATTGCTTTCTGTTAGACAAATAGCTTTGAATCCACTTAAATGTTGAGCCTATTATACCGTAATATTTTAGTTATACCGTTATATATATATATATAATAATGCAGTATCTACATTGTATGTTTTTCGATTTCAGGTCATAATGGCATATCATCACAAGTCTGGGTATCAAAAAGCTAAAGACCGTGAAGATAAGAAGAAACGTGAGGAAGCGGTCATTTCAAAAACTGTTAAAATAACTGAGCTTTTTCCTACGATTAGTGTCAATGTCAATAGAGAAGACCCACCATCGAATTCACCTTTACCATGTGTTGGTCAGTGTGGTTTGCCTGGTCAATTTGGTCATGAATTTGAACGTGATAACAGTGTTGCAGCTGTATGCACTCAATCTATCTCTCACTCTGAATCTGATGATATGGTAGACGCGGAGACACTTTCTCAGAAACCAGAAGCACAAGCTGGTTCCAAAGGTGATGACAATTCCTTTTCCACTGACATTGGGCAATGGTCTGAAGTGGAAATCAATGATACATTCTGTAACTTTTGGGTAACTCGTGGCAGTGAATGTTGTCAACATTCAAATGCTGACTTCATTAGTTCAATGCAAATTGATGGAAAACAGAAGCGCTACTGCTCACAGAATCTCTTTTATCGTGTTCATTCTCGCAATGGTGAGAAAGTCCCAAGGTCATGGTTGTGTTATTCATCAGCAACATCTCGCATTTACTGCTTTGTATGTAAATTATTTTCCGCTGATGATAATTCATTCTCAAGGAATGGTTTTTGTGATTGGAAAAATGCAGCTTCACGAATGCAGTCACATGAAAACAGCATTGCACATAGAAATGCAACAATCACATTCAGCCAAAGAGTACAAGTAAGAGGATGTGTAGATTCAGCAATAGTTGAGCAATACAGACAGGAATGTGCATATGCAAAATCTGTGCTAGAAAGAGTTGTCTCAGTTATCAAGTTCCTTGCTGAAAGAGGGCTCGCATTTAGAGGACATACTGAAATATTGGGGTCAAGTTCTAATGGCAATTTTTTGGGAATTTTGGAGTTGATTGCTCAGTTTGATCCATTCCTCTCCAGTCATATTGACAACCATGGTGGTAAGGGGAAAGGCTCTGTTTCATACCTGTCATCAACAATTTGTGATGAGTTAATTGATGTCATGGGAAAGCAAGTTATGAAAACATTATTGTCTGAAATACGTGGAGCAAAATTTTATTCGATTTCTGTTGACTCTAATCCAGACATATCTCATGTTGATAGGCTGTCATGTGTCTTTCGATATGTTTTGAACGATGGCCCTATAGAAAGGTTTGTGCAATTTTTAAGCATGAAAGGACATGGGGCAGAAGATTTGTTTAACAGTTTATACAGCTTTCTGGAAGAAGCAAAGTTGGATATAAAATATTGTCGAGGTCAGTCCTACGATAATGCTACCAATATGGCAGGAAAATATTCAGGGTTACAGGCACGCATTCGAGAGAAGAACCCATTGGCTGAATATGTGCCATGTTTTGCACACTCCCTTAATTTAGTCGGTGCATCAGCTGTAAACTGCGTGACAACAGTGAGTGGATTTTTTGATTTTGTACAAAACTTGTATGTCTTTTTAAATGCATCAACCCAACGGTGGGAGCTTCTAACCAAAGGATTGGATAGTAACCAGTTAGTTCTAAAACGCCTTTCTGATACTCGATGGTCAGCACATTCTGCAGCAACTAAAGCATTGAGCAAAGGCTTTAAAAATGTTAAGACAGTGTTAGAGAACATTGCTGAGGACCCCGAGGAGAAGGTTGAAGCTCGCACTACAGCTGCAGGAATTGCAAAGAAGATGGATCAGTTAGAATATGGAATTTTATTAGAACTCTGGACACCCATATTAGATCGCTTTCATAAGACCAGTTTAAAACTGCAAAGTCCACAACTTGATCTAAATGAGGCTGTTCAACTTTTAACTTCACTAAAAGAATATGTAAATTCACTTCGAGCACAGTTTGACTTCTTATAAAGAAGAGAATCAGAGGAAACGAAAGCGAAGTGTTCAATTAACCCGTCATGATGGATCAGCTGATGAAACAGTGTTTTCGGCACAGCAGAAATTTCGAGTCATGGTTTTCTTGCCAGTACTTGATCACTTGAACTCAGCATTATGTAAACGATCAGAGGCATACAGTGGTGTATGTGATAAGTTTGGTTTTCTGAGAAACATTCGATCACTGGAACAGTCTGATTTGCGAAGAGCCAGTAGAAACTTGATAGATACTTATGTAGATGATTTGGAAGAGTCATTTGAAGATGAAATACTTTACTTCAAAGAATATTTGTTAGCTGATACGTACTTGCAACAGAATGAGAAAGAACTGAAATGTAGCATAGAGCTGTATATGTATCGGGCTTTGAGAAACAGCAGTGCACTACAAGATATATTTCCAAATGTTGCCACAGCACTTCACATATACCTCAGTTTGATGATCACCAACTGCAGTGATGAAAGATCATTCTCTGCATTGAAACGGATAAAAAACTATCTGCGAAGTGCTTTGGGTGATGACAAACTGAATTCCCTTACTGTTATGTGTACTGAATCTGCATCCTAAGAAGCTGTGACTTCAATGAAATTTTATCAGACTTTGTTGAACGAAAATGCAGAAAAATGAATTTTTGATCGTGTTGTTTTTTTCTTTGGGTCAGCCATTTATAAAATATATACTAGTATCTAATATACCTGATAATTTGTTTGTAATTTTGAAATAAAATTAGATTTTATTATAGATATTATTATTATAAATAAAATTAAAATTGTACTTTTTAACGTATTTTTTAGAAAAATATAGGCATATAGGGCCCATGAATTAGTTAAGCCTATAGGCCCATAACTTGATAATCCGATATATATATATATATATATATATATATATATATATATATATATATATATATATATATATATATATATATATATATATATATTTACGCGCGTAAAACAGAGTGTTTAAACAGAGGTTATCAAAAAAAAAAGGCTTGTTGTTAACGTAAGCGATATTCGACTGTTCTCTTAGTCTATATTTCACGTGTGAAAATGGTGGGGATCATGGCGGCTGATGAATATTCCTCTTACGATAATCGTATTGATAATGGTTATGATTCTGAAGAAGATTTTATTGATGATACACAATTTGAAGATCCTGAAGGATTTGTCGATCCTATGACAGAAGAAGGTAGATATTTTAGTGATTTTTTAAAATCTTATACAAAATTTGAATGGCATTACTGACTCAGGAGAAAATTTAAAAGAATTGAAAATTTTTTACTTTTTAATATGATTTTAATTATAAATGTCTAACTAGTTTCCTGAAGTTTAATTAGGAAATAGTTTATATGGAAAATATTTCAATTAATTTGATATGTATCATATTTGAAATGTATCGAATGAAATTATTTAATTATAATATATTGAAGAGAATTTAACAAATAGTCAAATGAAAAAGTTTTTATTAGTTTACTAATTATTTGCGACTAAAACATTAAAAGTTTGAAAAAAAAACAAGTTTTTTATTTCTAAACATGATTTCACAGTAGAGTGAGGTAAAGGATACAGATATTTGGTAAGCCTAAGCTTTTTAATTTTATGTTAAATCCTTATTTTATTGTAAACACTATACCTCAATATAATATTTAGAATAAAATTAGTTTCAATTTAGTGAACTAAAACAAACAATTTAAAAATACTTCAAGACTAATCAATTAATATTTCTCTTTCAATAAGTGTCAGTTAATATTAAAAAAAGTTGATTGATGAAAAAAATAGATTTTAGATAATTAAATTTGAAAAAATAAGTAAAACTGATATGTTATTTTCAAGACTAATATGCGTGAAAGTTTATTTTTAATAAGTAATTGCAATGGTATGTAGAAAAAAAAACTTAAATTTTTGTGGTATTAAATTCAAAGATATATGTATGTAAATGGATGTGTAGTTTTTTACTAAAATAAATTGATACCAAACTTTTTTTTTTTTTGATTTAATTTAAGAAAGTTATGAATTTTTTAAGCTCAAAATTGTTTAAATGGAAATTTAATGTTGTGACCTTAATTTGTAAATATCAATCTAAATTAATCATAACTTCCATTAAAATGATCCAATTTACATTTGAACAATTAAAGTGAAAGCTGAAAAAAGTAAGAAACATTTCTTAAGTAGCAGGGGTAAGTTTAACATGCCTGGGGTGGATGATGGTGCCTCTGCCACTGTCACCCACCTAGAGTGGATGAGTGTAATTGACAGCATAAATTCATGAGACAATTTATATGTTGATAAATTAGTGATCAATAGCAATAAGCATCAATCTCTTTGCAGCAAGGATGAATAGTCATTAAAGGGTGTACGTAGGAGGGGGAGGTGGTGTAAGTGAATAATTTTTAAAAGTTTGTTTTGTTAAGTAAAATAAAATACACATGCAGTAAAAGAAAAAAAAGGTTTTTACACAAACCGCTAGTTATATTCAATTATTTTTTAAAAGTTAAAAATTCCAAAGATTTTAAGCATCAGAATGTTTTTTTTTTCTTATATCGTAATATATTAAGGAAAAAAAAACATTATGGTGCTTAAATCTTTCCAACAAATCAGTTCAAAATTTTTTCAACTCTTTTTTTCTCTTTGCTTATTGCAGGGTTGGCAAAAACCCGGGTTTTTTTAAAAAAAACCCGGCCCAGTGGGTTTTTTTTGGGTTTTATTGGGTAAATTTGGGTTTTTTTGGGTTTAATTTTTATTTTGTCTCTGTAAAAAAATTTTTTGTTTTTGTTTAATGATATTGAAAATTAGTTTTTTTCTACTTTAACTTTATTTAAATATATTTTATATATTGTTGTTTAATTATTTATAACAAGAATTTTTCAAATTATTTTGAAAAAGATTTTTAAATATAATTTAAAACTGTAATAGAAAAAAAAAATTTCACGCTTAATCTATATGTATTGATTTATTTTAAATTTAAAAGTATTATTCTATATAATTAAAAATGTCAATGAGAAAATGTGAAAAAGAAGGCTAGAGAATGGGAGGTAGTTACTGAAGTTTCAATTAAACTTTGAACTTGAAATTTGAATGAACAAACTTGTTCCTCTGCGCAGTGGCCTTGTTTATAAAGATTCGTTTTTAGGAGTTAGAGAGTTTTTTTTTTTTTTTTAATTAATTCACCACCTCAAGGCTTAAGGCCAGTACAGGTGAGGAGGCTACTTATTTGTGGTTATAACCCTCTCTTAACTCTATAACTCCGAAACACAAACCTTGACGAACAAGGCCGCTGCGCGGAGAAAGGAGTTGAGCGCGGTACTGCCAGGGACGTGGTGGGGATCGAACTCAGAACCTCTCACTTATGAAGTGAGCGCTCTAACACAACACCACTATGGCGTAAGAGTTGAGAGAGGGTTGTAACCACAACAAGGTAGCCTCTTCGACTGTTGTGTTGGCTTCTCTGGTCACTACTACTTATTTAAATTCAACTTGGGAGGTGAATAACATAAAGTAATAAAAATCTCAATCGATAAAAATATTTGAATAAAAATTGTAATAATGTATTTCCAAATAATGAATCAAATAATAGTAAACCTGCTCTGATAGCTGTTATTGTTGGTTATAATAGTTAATAATAATAGTTAATAATAATTAAGTTAATAATTATTAATAGTTATTTCAGTAAATAATATTATAGTTATAATGTTAAAGTTGGTTATAATAGTTCATAAACTTATTAAATATCTTTAAAAAAAAAACAATAAAACCCAGATTTTCCAGGGTTTTATTGGGTTTTTTTAGGCGGGTTTTTTTGGGTTTTATTAGACGGGTTTTTTTGGGCGGGTTTTATATTGCCAACCCTGGCTTATTGCCTAGTAAACAACTTTCATTTTTTTATTATTATCTAATTTGTCATTGTTTTTATTTTGATGACAAAATTAACTTTGATGAGGAAAAATATAAAGTAAGGTTAAAGTTAACTATCTATTCCTCTGCATCAATATTATAAAGCCTGGCTTTCTGCATCTCTTTTTTAAGTTTTTTTGATACCTCTAGATTAATATATCTTTCATACTGTCATTTTAAATCAGCAATAATAGCTGATAAACAGGATACTCATTTGTTCAACTTTGTCTTTTGGGCACACCAAAGCTTTTGCTATATGATCTTTTCATTTCTGATTATGTTTCCAAATAAATCTTTTGTACTAAATAGCAACATTGGATTGTCTTTAAAATATTAAAGGCTTTTTAACATAAAAACATAAAATAATTTAAACAGGTTGATGGATATTAAATAAGCAGCAAATCTTTCTCTATAAAATGTTATAATATGCAAATCTTTTTCTATAAAATTATAAATAATGATATATTGGAAAATTCCGATTGTATTGATATATGAATTTTGATGAAAAAAAAAAGAAAAGAATAGTATTTAAGAATCCATGGTATTAAAAACAATGTTTAATATTTAGGAAGTGATCGGGCCCTGGAATTAGCCAAATATGGGGTTTTTTACAACCCTTGCTCTAGCTAAACAATTCTAACAGGGGTTATTAGCCGGGCCTAGGATATTTTATTATATATACATATACAATAAAAATTATTTGGTATTAATGTAGTGGTAGAGCGCTCGCTTCATAAACAAGTGGTTCCAAGTTCGATTCCCACCACGTCCCTGGTAGTACTGCGCTCAACTTGTTTCTCCGCGCAGCGGCCTTGTTCGTCAAGGTTCGTGTTTCGGAGTTATAGAGTTAAGAGAGGGTTGTTACCACAAATAATTAGCCTCCTCGTCTGTAATGGCATTCACGGCCTTGAGGAGGTGAATTAATAAAAATATATATATCAGGCTTGGTCAAGAAGCGGGTGCGGTCGCACACTGACCACGGAAATAATATTTGTTAAAAACCGGCCAGATTTTTTAGTCGTTTTAAGAACATTTAAGTTTATGTATGTTTCCTTGTTTGTCCACAAAATAATAATTAAGTTATCGTAAATTTTAGAGTATTTTGTTTTACGGACTTACATGAAAATATACATAAACTACCTGAATGTTCTAGAGTATTCTGTTGAAATATTTTAAAAAATTGTATTATTTGAATTATGTTTTCGTTGAGATTTCTAGCATAAATTATTTTAAGAATATACTATCAAACGAACTATTATTTTAATACTATGGCTCATTCTCAGACCCACATCTACAAAGCTATAAGTGTTTTAAACTAACATTATTTGTTTACAAAAATGAATGTTTCAAATTTATATTTTTTAACTTGTCAACAATTTGTAAATATATTGTAGATTTTATAAGTATATTGTCATAAAATCTATAATATATTTACAAAATATTGACAAGTTAAAAAATAACATCATAATCTCCATATTTTAAAGTAAAATATATGATGAATACTTATGACTAAAAAATACCGAATGGTCTTCTTGACTATTATAAAGTAAAAGGGGCGTCTTTTTAAATATCGCTTAATTTTATAAAAAAATTATAAAATAGTGACGTTTCAAAAATATTTGCTCTTATCGTATTTATTTTGCTTAAAGTTTTTTCGTGTTAAATTATTTTCTTTTTTTTTAAGTGTCTCTTATCGGTGCAGTTAATCTTATTGTGCTTTTTTGTTTGTTTTTGAAATGTTCTCAAAACGACTAAAAAATCTGGCTGGTTTTACACAACTTAATATTATTTCCATGGTCAATTATCGATCGTACCCGCTTCCTGACCAAGCCTGATATATATATATATATATATATATATATATATATATATATATATATATATATATATATATATATATATATATATATATATATATGTATGTATGTATGTATCTAGAATATATATTTATGTTTATAGAAAATATATATTTATATATATATATATTTATAAATATAATGTGAATTTTAATCCAAGATGAAATATTTATTTTATTTATAGGGTTCAAGATTTAAGCAGCCCCTGCCATAAAAGCCCTTCCAGATTTAGGCAACCGACCATAGCCACAACCCTGGCCCTGGTCGCTTACTAGTAATAATAAAATTATACAATTATTAAAAAAAATATTTAGTGCAATTTGCAATATCCGCGAAACTAATTTAAACTACACATATTAATGTAAAAATAATTAGTTCAAATGCTTGAATGGGATCAAAATACCAAATAATGCAGAGATGATAGTAATATTATTGGAGCTAT